CCAAGAAGCTAGACAAAGTKAGTGCACCATTTTGCTTAGTTGATAGACTTTAAATAAGTTTCCCAGTACTGTAAGGAATAGATGCATAAAATTTCATATGAATATATGAAAGTAGTTTTAACTGAAATATTGAAGTTTTGTGGAATTGTGAATCTGAGCATACAGGGCTTGTCAGCAAATTATTTTTCATCCTAATATGCATGCTGAATATCAGATCTGCTATCCAATTTTATGGGGCACCTAGTTCTATTTACAGATACTAATCTGTAAATATTGAAAGTGGTACAAGGAAAGTAACTGTCAGTGATGACATGCTGCCTGTTGTTCGGTGGCTGGGGTGCCTGGAGAATGTAATTTCTTGTACAATTGTAAAAGTGTATTCTGTTATATCAAACTGATAATTATGGGGCAGACATGACCCATGCTTTCCTGCTTTATCCATTGAAAACTTTCCTTCCTTTGAAGGAAAGTTTTCAGTGGATAAAGTTCCTTTCCTTTCCTGCCAAATGGTCCAGTTGAGATTCATCCTCATTCCATATCTAAAGGTCTMGTATGCGTTTATGTGATCAGAACTTACTGAAAACAGCTTTTCCTGAAGTTCCTATCTGGAACATGGTCATCTGGTATTGGGCTGTACCAGTTGCAGATTTATAGCCTTTAGATATCTGTATCTCTGTCTATCCCTTTTTATTTATACTATAATTTATAACTTGTCTATTGTCTAGTGAAGGCTATCTAGTACAGTATGCATGTCTTAACTTACATTCATTTGGCAAATCAATCTGTTACCCTGATACTCACATGAAAATATAATGTAAAAACAAAMTGTGAGTTCCTTGTTACAGTACACTTATCTATACCAAGTGAACCATCTCCCAGGCCTCCTGTATTCTGGCTTTGGACTATTTGTTTTGTCCCACTAATCAGTACTAAGAGCTTTGTTTCTTATAGGGAGAAGTTTTTGCAAGAAAGCCTCAGTGTCACCAGGATACCCAGTATCATCATTTGTATATTCAGCATCATACAATGGACATGTCAGTTCATTGCAGCAAATACTGGTGCATAAAACCTCAAAACTGCCCACTTACCTCATCTGAAATGCACTGCTGGTGACATCGTGTGCACCCTACAGCATGCCTGGAGGAAAGAGAAATCTTTAACAAATTTTGTTTTCAGTGATCAAATTAAAACTTCGAGAATTGACTTGCAGTTTTTAAAACAAAAATTCACACTGCTGCTAATGCCTAGACTTGCAGATTCCAAGATCCAGGTGACAATTTTTGGTAGGGCTGCCTTTGCCTCAGCTTCTTGACTTCAGTGTGAACCAGTTCATTGCTTAAAGAAGGCATATTTCTTGATCTCTTTCTCCATTGCCAAAGCTATGGCCCATTTACCTCACACATAAACTATAAATGTGTTGCAGATTTTAGAAAGCTCAGAGAACTGAACATAAGCAAAGTGAGATAGTCCTGATGTGGGACATACAGTTAAGAAATTGCAGAGAATCTTTGCTGTCATGTGGGACCAGCAGTAGCTCATATAGTATAATGTAATCTGCAAAATGTAGGTCTCAGTGTAATGATGTTGCTTCAGTATTGCTGTTTCGTGGTAACTTTGGCAGTTTCCATTGATATTTAGCACAGACTATGATGGGATGTGTAGAACATACCCAGCTTTTCTATGAATAATTTTTTGCTTTTTTATTCTGTTGTTTCATCTCAGTGGAAATTGCCACGCAGAGAACAAGGGAAATGTATTTGCTCCTGCAGCATCGTTACTGTTGAGCGAGTTCATATCAGGATTCAGTAAGACCCTCRAAAGTTCTTACAAAAATCATCAATAAATTGTGGTGATTTTTCAAATCACTTAATTTGAGTTTGACCTTTTACTGGTTGTTGCCATAATGCCCTTTTAGTGGTTTCAGTTAGAATAGATGGTAATAGTAGTTTTATAGGGTTTTAAGCTGTTTTTCTAAAGTAGTTTACAAGCAATTTATAAGCAGTTAGAGTGACCCTGCTAAATCCACATGCATGATTTCTGCTGTGTATAATTTATTTTGTTAAAGCTCCTTTAATTGAAGGAGCTTTAATTGAACCACATCAGTTTGGGATGTTAGAATAAACAGGAAGGGACAGATCCCTCTGCCTTCTGGTTTCTGCAGATTTCAAACATCGCTAATTTTACGTTGATGCTTTTCCTCAAAAAGGGGTTGCTCCTCAGGATTTTTTTTTTTTTCCTGTATGCACATCCTAGAGTGGTGGTATTAGAAAAGAATGAGGCTGCCCATGGAGTTCATTCCTCAGGGTACAAAGAAGGCTGTTCTGCAGGATGTGTTTCCTGTAATGAAATGCTGCAGTTCACAGTTTCTTCCTGCTGGGGATGACCACACAGCCTGTCAGATACTGGCCCTGCTAAAATCATCTTTCCTTGATCAATGATAAGAAAAGCTGAATCACAAGGATGACAGAGCTCTCAGTGAAGCATGTAGCTGCACGTGTGCCAACTTTGCACCACATAGCTGYGTTCTTCTCTGCCATCTGCCACTGCAAAATCTCTCCAAACAGGATTACAAAGAAAGCGAGGAGAAAATATCCAACCTGTCCCAAGGCTGTGTTGTGTTATTATGTAGCTGTTGTTTCTATTCACGGCAAGAGCTGCTTCTCAGCGTAATGAGTTGGGTACTAAAAGTAATTTCTGCGGGCATTAAGGCAAGTGATGTGAAAAGCACAGCTCAAGATTTTCGTATACAGAGCTGTTCAAGAGGGGTGTTAATTTTCTAGGAAACTAAGCRGTACATCCTGAAGCAGTCACAATTTGCTTTGCCCTTGAAAAAAAAACCAACTTAGTCTAACTTAATTGCTTGCTCAAATATCCTTTGTTAAGAAGATGAAATGTGCTTTGATTCATCTTTTGAAAAGGAGGAAAGATTCCAGAGCTTCTGGGTAGAAGAATAGGTGGCTACAGGATCACAGATTCCATGTGCAGTTTAACAGGCTCATGCAGAGATTGGAAATTAAAATGCACACATTTTTGTATTTGATCTTTGCTGTTTTTCAGGAGTAACCAGACCATTTGCAGCTCCAGCAGGGGCAGCAGCAGGACTTGGCCAGCAGTTGCTGGTGCCCTGTGARGKGGTGGRGAGCTGTTCCCYGGSCCTTCTGAGTGTGTGCTCACACCTMGAAAATKCTTTCTAATGAGTTGATGAGCCTGACTCTGTTGCTAGAAAAAGCAGTGTTCGTTTGCCATTCAACCAACCAGTTCTTTTATCTCCTGAGCAAAAAGGTTGACTAAATGGGAAGCAATATTCCCACCTGCTTGATCCTGCCTGTGGCAATGCTGCAAAACAAAATGCTGTTTTTTCTTCCCCTTCCTGCTTTTTAAAAAGTCTTTTAAAGTAGYGAAAAGTCACTTTGTCAAATGCACWGTATGGATTAATTAGTCAATGTTTGTTCAGAGCTTTGGATGCCTTAAGCCTTATTAGGGTTGAATGCTGAATGTTAGGCTTCTTCATGCATTGACTTGATCATAAGCAGCATCTTGATGGAGGAGTTTCTTTTTTTACTGTTTGAATCAGCTGCAATTTAGGATTTTATTCTCAAAGTTTGTGTATGTTTTTATACATGTTTATGATGTATATTTGCATATTGTGTCATAGTTTCAGGTAACTATATTTTCAAAAACATTGAGGCATTTTATATGAAGAAAAAACTATTTATGTTTTTGTTTTATTTTTGTTATCTTTAGGCCAGTCAAGAGATTTCATAGGAGAGATTTCATAAGAGATTCATATTCAGTATATAAATATTATGAAGTACTATTTGGGTATCCACAGTCCAAACAGGGAGCTACTTTTTTTTTTCTGTAGAAATGAGAGTATCCTTGCAATAGTAGTGTTGGCAGTTGTATGTTGAATGATTTTTCTTAGTATATTACATTGTCTTTTATTACYAAAATACCAGAGTCAGAGTAAAAAATTAATTGAAAGTCATTTTTGAGAAGAAAACATAAATCTTATGGGATTTATCCATATTTAGATGCATATTTTAAGATTAATGCTATAATTTTGAATTTAGCAAGAGCAGAGTTGTTCCTTTTATGTATTGTCATAGTTCTTTTTTGAGGTGAAGAGAGACTGAAGATGTGTAATTCTAAATATGATGCTTCATTATGTTATATTTGTGGCTTATAGAACTAGAAGTATGGTATTTGAACAAATGTTCCTTTATGTCTTAGAATAGCTAGTGCAATTTAATGCATTAAAGTTAAGTAATCTAATTCTACTACAGATTTTATGTCACCTATTACCACRTAAAAATGACGTGAACTCATGTAATTGAAWGGTCTTCACAGGACTTAYSTAAAATGATATATTGACAGCTTTATGTTCAGCTGTCAAGATAAATGTTTGATCACATCTGTGTTCCTTTAGAAGATTTCATTTTATTGGAGGGGTTGATAGTCTATTGGTAGACAAAAGAGAAAATCTTTTTTRTGCAAGCAAAGTATACTTCATTTTAGAATCTGATGAATTGAACTTCAGTGCTGAAGCARAGTGTAGGTGCAGCATTATACTTTGGGAGAACAAGAATGTAATCCTGAGTAAAGAAATCAGTATTTCTATTTTTTGTTCCCCTGATCAGGCAATCAATTTGTGGACATTTGTGRAAGATTTTAAATGACCCTGTTGTCTCCATTTACTAATATTGTGGGGTTCAAAATTCTGGTCTTTAAATATCTTATCTTTAAAGCTATAACAGAATCAGCTGGGAAGAGCTTAAATCAATGAGTTACCCACTTCCCTTRTGATGTGTCTGTAAAACATATGTGTACAAATGCAATTTCGTGTAACATAAAACCCAAAGCTAGCAACAACTAGGTTTTTATTTTCCTCAGTTTGAGTATGTTTGGAAAATTTATTTTGTTATTCAGTATTTCTATTTGCAGAGCAGATGGAGTTACTGCTCCAATATGTAAGAATTTATTCTTCTGTTTTTATTCAGTTTGACAAAGGATATGCTTACAGCATTCGYCACAACTATGGGAAAGAAGGAAAGAGGACTGATTACACCCCATACAGYTGCATGAAGATTATCATGTCCAATCCACCAAGTCAAGGGGATTATCATGGTGAGTTCCTTAAGGGGAAAAACCCCAAGTGTTTACAAGCAGCAGAATTCCTTGGCTAGAGAAGTTATTCCCTCCTGTAGTCTCTTAAATTGTGTATTTAATTTCCAGACATAGTGGACTTGAACTGTTCTCTTTAGATCGAACTTGATAACTGCTGTTTTWTATACATTGTGTTACGGAGTTCAAGGAGATTTTAAATGTGCAGATTGTGCAGATTTTAAATATGTTTTAAGAAATGACCAATTAGATGTGTTCTCAAATAAGAATTCAATTGTACAGGAATTGTGAAGTTTGCTAGGGTATTTAAAAAACCCCTACCAGTGTATGACTAAACAGCAAACCTGCACKGGCTTCACTGTTATTGTGCTGGTGCTAAGTCAGTTGTTCAGTTGTGTCTCAAAACTCGCTCTGGGACAAAAAAAAATCTGCTGTTACTAAGGTGGTTGAACTTTCTAAGGTACTTATAGAGAGATATTTTTACAACAGACTGCTTTTAAAGACCAGTTGTCTCTCATTACTTTTATTTTCTCGGTCTTTTTCCACAGCTATTAAATGTACCAATACTATCATTGTTAGTAAGGAACTAACAAACTCTTTTCCTGTCAGTGAATGAGAATTGTGGCCTGTTTATGGTGGGATATTTTATGTGACTCTTGRGCCTGTGGTGCCCTGATAATTCTGCAATAGAGTAATTATTTAAAGAAAAAAAAAAGCAAGCAATTGTACACATGGGTAATTAACTTTCCTATTAATAAGCTGTTAGACAATTAGGAACAGCTTAGCTGGTCTCTTGAGTGCCTTAGTGCACTAACTCCTGAGTAAACAGCCTTGTTTGTGAGCTTGCATGTTTTTTACTGTCAGGGTGCCCATTCCGCCACAGTGATCCCGAGCTACTGAAGCAAAAGCTGCAGTTATACAAGATCCCTCCCAGTGGAATARCTCAGGTAAGGCATATTTCGCCTGACACTTTCATTAATAAGGCACTGCTTTTCAATTTTACTTTCTATTCATGTAGGAATGCCATATGCAATTTGTCAGTGTGCATTGTGAAATATTTCTTCTTATAAAATGTTTACACCAGAATTTTTGCTTTCTGGCTGCAGTGCTCCCACTGATGTGATGATTACTGTCACCACTTTTTATTGTTTAGTATTATGGGTAKGTTTATTACTATAGTGGATACGATGCAGAATTTTGTCCTACTTTGGTTTACTGCACTGTGATTAGAAAAGAAGTTTAGATGAATCTGGCAGTGTTTTAGAGAATTTCTTCTTGCATTTACTTGTGGATGACTACTGTCTAGTCAGTACACCAATGTAATTATTTTCTATTATAAACTTCTAAAACCCATACATTCCTCATCATCTGTTGTGCTAACTTCCTTTAATCAACAAAAGCACATAAATAGCTAATGAAATTAAGCAGAAATTTTTATCAACTTTTAGAAAATGTAAACTTAAATTGAAAATCTATCTTAYATAGCAAAAACAGTATAGGAATTGTAACTTTGAGATGTATCCTTAAGGACTGTGACTCTCACCACTTACTCTAGCAASAGTTTAAGGCAGTAAGAGAGTGTCATCATTTTTATTGAAGGAAGATGTACTGGTGAGATGTAAGCTGAGACCAAACAATTTTGTATAATAAATGTCCGGAATCTTCCTTAGGTCCACAGAACAAACCTGCTTTAATTGTTTTCTTTAGTTCAAGTGGAATGTCACCATTGTTTGTCAGGCATCAGCAAACTGTTGTACTAGATAGAAAAGTATGTGAAAGTTCCACTTAAAGCAGTCTGCCTTGGAAGGATTAATTAAGATACAAATTAAAAGGGAATACTTTTAAAGAGTTTATTGCTCACTCATAGTAATTTTGGACAAAGTCTTGAAATACCCATACTTTTTCCTAGGGATTGTTTTTGCCTTTTCTTTTTTTCTCCCTGTTTTCTCCTGGTTCATATCAGTAAACATCCAAATATCTGAGAGGCCCTAGAGATACTTCCCTTTGGCTTTTTTCCCTTATATATGCATSAAGAATTGATGCCGGTCTGGGATTTTTATCCTGCTAATCATTGGAAAGATTGGTGAGGATTTACTGGCTTAGATGCCTTGTTATATGTGTGGATAGGATTTAGTAGAGGTTATTTCTTCAGCAAATTTGCACAGTTAGGCAGTATCTTTATATTTAATGT